AATTAAAAAAATCAATCATTTAAATGACACATCAAATTGTATTAATAGGTGGTATAAAAAGATTATTTCAAAATCATTTTGCTTGTTAGAATATCCAATTACAATCATTATTTAAGTGAGGTCCTATTTAAATAATAATTATAATTAAATATCAAGGCATTCTAAATCTTCACATATTGTTAGTTTTTAGTTTGGTCTGTTTAACTTGTGCTTCATTGACTTGTGTTTTAAGGGCACATGTTAAAACTCATTAATTAGAATATCTTTAACTAATTTTACATAAAATTTTCCTATAACATTCATAATTTTTTATAGATTTTAAGGTAAAATATTATATTATATTATATTATTACATTTTATACTATATTTTATTTGAATTTTGTATAAATATTTATGTAAAATTAATTACAAATATTGTAATTAATAAGATTTATCTTGTGTGCTAAATTGCCAGATTAGAAAATCCCTACTTAGTTTATAAGGGAAGCAAGTGGCACGTGGTTTATTAATGTTGGAAAGATTACACTTAATCCTCCGACACAGCCAGTGGAACCAAACAAGCTTTGGTGACACGTGGGAAGATTTGGGATGTTTATATAATTATTTAATGTCCCATCCCACCTGTGCATAGTGCATTATTACCAACATTTACAAAAATATAATTATTAATTAAAATTTCATATTATCCTTTATTGATAAGCGAAGTTGAAAAATTAAGATTTTTTTTCAAAGAATAAAGTAATTACTAGTGGAGATAAAATTGAAAAGAAAACTTTAATGGTATGTTTAAAAAAGAAAATAACAAATAAATAGGATTATATTTTTTAAAATAACTATAACAAGTACAATAACTTTAGATAGAGAATTAAATTTAAATAATAAAATAACAAAAAAGTATTTTTTAAGTAAAAAATGTAGTATGACTACTAAAATTATTAAAGTTCTTTTAATACTTTTTTTTTATATTTATTTATTAATAGTATGTTTAGATTGCAAAGAATAGAGGAGAAGGAAAGGAAAATTTGTCATATTTTTATAATAGTATGTCTATTCATTAAAACACTATAATTTAACTTGTTAAAAATCTTTCTCACCTCTTTCCTCCATTCTTCTTAATTTAAATACACGATAAAAGTAATTTAGTAATTTTTTAGTTGAGATTGCACTTTTAATGTGCATTCTAAAATGAAATACATGAATCTCATAAAAATAAGAAAAAAAATAAAGAATGTAGCTTAAAACCTAGAAAAAAAAATAATTAAGTTAGTCATAATGTCATGTTATAATAACATATAATGATTATAAATTTATTATATCACATAACATAACATTGTAACTATAAAAATGAAACATAGATAATAGTAAAGTAAAGAAAATGAGGGCAATGCTCCATAAAAGGCTTGGATAAATGTACAAACTTTGTTATTTTTTTATTTAAAAATATTAATTTTTTACGTTATTAAATTAAGTAATAATTTTTCTTTTTATGTAAAGATATAAATTCTACTTTTTATTTATTTGAAAATATAAATTTTATCTTACTTCAATTAAAATTATTATATGTCATATCATTATCATCATCTTATAAATCTTTAAATGGAAAAAAATATAAAATTTGCATATTTCAATAAAAAAAAGGTAAAATTTTACAATTTAATTTAAAAACTTAAAATTTTTTTATTTTTAAATAAAAATTAACACAGTTTATCTTCCTATATGTTTTTTTTCTCTCAATCTTATGTTTTGTAAAGAAAAAGGCAAAAATAGGTTTTGGGAAACGTCGAGCCGGTGATGACGGGAACATCTGCCCTTTAAATAGGACAAAAACGTTGCATAAATGAGTAACCGGAAAATTTAGGGGCCGGACATTTCAGCCCGAACTGAACTGTTAGTCACAGCCAATAAGTTACTGGGCCGTTGGTTCGGGCCCAAACAAGAATCGTGTATAAAGGCCCTGACCTCAAATGGGGGAGGTGAGCATCGGTTCAATAACTGAACCGGTTTGTTTTCTGGTGACCGACTTTTCGGTTGCTGTAAGTGATGGGCCGAGAAATGTTAAAACAAGAGTAGCCGACAGAAGGGTTGTAAGCCCAAGTAGAGACTTATATAAGACTTCTAAAATTACTAAAGCAAACAAATATAAGGGCACAATTAAAAAAAAAAAAGAGCAAAATTACTAAAACAAACAAATATGAGGGAAAATAAGTGGGGTTAATGTCATATAGTTTAAGTTTAATTGATTATTACATCGTTTCAACATGCTTTTTTTTACAAAACTCTATGTTTTTTTACTATTTTTTATTTTTTAATTAAAAAATAAGTTAAATAAGAATAGATAGTTTTTTTTTTAATCATTTTACACTGATCTAAAGGTTATAAATTCAAAATCTTTAATCACTTTACACTGATCAAAAGGTTATAAATTCAAAATCTTTAATTTAAAATTTTTAAATTTTAATCATTCGAGACATCTCATTTGAATCTTTTAAAATTTTTCTTATAATATAACTAGTTAAGATAAAAAAAATGTGATATAAGTAATTGAGAGTGTCATAAGTACTACCAAACAAAGATATTTCAAAAAAAAAAAAAAAACTGCAATGCATATAATAAATAAGTTACGTTTGATGAATAAACATAGAAATTAAAATTGTTTAACACAAGCAACTGACGATGCATTAGATTTTATAACGGTTGAAAGGTAGAGAGAAACAGAAAAATGATTTAGATTTAATATTTTTATATTATTTTTTTATATAATTTTACATATTATTTAAATAATTAACTTTTTTATTCATTTAAGACCCATAATAACAAGGGTGGAGTTATTTTCACATTATAAATTGTTAATATTACATTTTTTTAATATAACTACTTATTATACTTTTACATTACATTTTGTCTTAAAAAAATGTATTTTTTATTTTTTAATAAATTAAAAAGTATAATAATTAATTAAAATAAAATGTTATAACGTCAGTAATTGAGAGTATAACAATAACATTATCCTAATATTAAGTGTATCTATTTATTTAATAATACATATAAAAAATTTGTAAAAAAAAAAAAATTTTTATATCACTTCCATGAGAAAAAATTAATGAAGCGTTTCAAAACCCAGAATTGCACCCTATAAAAGGAAATAAATCAACTCTAATTGATCACCACCACAGCAGCTCCCTCGCAATAACTCAAGCATTATGGCAAAGTTCAACATCTTCCTCATGTGTCTGCTGCTGGCCACCATGACCCTAGCGGCAGCTGCTGCTTCTGTGGAGGTCAAACAAATATCCCCTAAAGGAGAAGATAATACGTATCCACCTGAAAATACCGACAATTTGCCACCAGAACAATCACCCGAGGGCAAGTTCTTGGATGCATGCGTGCAGCATTTCACGAGGGAGTGTGGGACAGAGATCTTCGCGAACATGTTCGCGGATAATTATCATCCTGTGTCAGACAAGTGTTGCAGCGAGCTTGTGGCTGCTGGAGAAACTTGCCACATTACCATGGTGAAGGTATTGTTCGCGGTGCCTGATTTCAAGTCAAAGGCATCTTCGGGTATCCCCAGAAGCAAGCAAATATGGAATGAATGTGCCTCGATCGTTTCTGAGGAATCTCCCTCTCCATTGCCAATCCCCTTTGAAGCTTAATTAAACTTCTATGTTACTTCTCCAATATATATAATAATATACGAAATAATTTATTGATCAGCTGAATTTTAAAGATCAAATGCACTCCTGCTGCAATATTAATCATCGTATAGAATAAATTAGTATTGATTTAAAGTGAGTCGGGTTGAATTGAAACAAAGAGGGGAAGGTTTTATGCAGCATAAAAAGAAATTCTATCATATCCAAAAATATCTTAGTTGGTAAGAATATTTAGTTCCTCTCCTTATTTATCAAATTTTAATTTTTTTTAAAAAATAAATAAAAAATAATTTTTTATAAATTTCATAATGTTACATGAATGACTTAGTAAAACTATTTAATTTTCCTTAGAAAAATTTCAATTTTAATTGTCTTCTTTGCTGATATTTTCTTAAGAATCTTAATAAAATTAAGAACTGAATATATTTTCTTTATTTCATATTTCTACTAATTTTTTATTAAATGGATATTTTTATTAAAATAAGAAACAATGCCTCATTATAATAATACTTAAATAATAGATTAAATAATTCAAATAATTTCAAAATCTTACTCTTTCTATTTCAAAATCTCTATCTTTTTTTTTTCTTGATTTGTCTATTAAAAATTATTTTTTCCTTTCCAAAGAACTAGACAATATGAAAGAAGGAATATGTAATACACTGTTTAGAATTTGGAATTATTAACTACATAAAGACTCAAATATTTTTATTAACAAAAGTTTTCATTAATTAAATCACTTTTTAAAATAAATGATAAAAATTAAAAAAACAAAATCCTAGAACAACTCAAAAACTTATAGAGAGAAGATTTTTCAATTTGAGATTAATTAAGAGTCTCAATTCCTAATTTATTTGATGCGTAGGATATTCATTTATTTAGGTTCTAATATTCTTGTCTTTTGTAAAATTTTGATTAAGTTATAATATTCTCTTTATATTTGAAATGGTGACTGTAATAAAAATATTATAAACTATATTAATATTGAGTTGTTAAGTATGAAAATATATAAAAATTATGGAGAGTTAAATGAGAATAATGTAAAGTTTTGTCTAATATGAATGTAATATTTAAAAATTTTAAAAGAGATAAAAAAATAATATACGTACTAAATTTGCCCCCCCTCTCCCTTTGCTTGATCTATAATAAGTAGATGTAATTTTTCAATTATACAATCACAAGTAATAACTGAATCTCAACTTTTATAAGAAAATCAGGTTGGTTGATAACAAATCTCCAATGAATGAAAT